TATAGAGAGAGAGAGAGAGAGAGAGAGAGAGAGAGGGAGGGATGGGGAGAGAGAGAGATGAAATAATGGAGGCTGGCTTGGTGGGGAATTATTCGGCTACAGATATATTGAAGTCATGAACCGTTTTTATATAATGATTGTGCATATGCATAAAAATTCTATATTATTTGTGACAAATATAGAAAGTATTTTTCAGGTATGTATATGTATTATTATCGGAAAAAAATATACAATAAGTTTCATGAGATGTAATGCCATGTGCCATGATTTTTGTTTCCCTTCCCATGAGACCGACAAATTTGCAAAATCGTTAGTCCTGAAACTGAAAGGCATGTTTTTGTGTTCAATAAAAAGAAATGTATATACAAATACATGAGAAAAAAAATCAATGCGCGTTGAGTCATTTGCGCGTTTGCATGTGGAATCGGTTATGCTATTTTTATCCACTATATATAATATATATATGTATATAAATTAATATCATGCAATATCTCTATTACAATATAATATATATTGTACGTATATATATATTGTTGGAAACCACCGCCGAAAATCTGTTGTTACAAATAATGATCGGTTTAGGAGTTGGAATGAAAGGCAAGTGAGGTGTTGTGGAGCTTGGAGACTAAGGGAAGACGGACGACGAAATTAATGACTTTATTTGTTACAACGTTAGGCTCTTCTATCATACAATAATTATTGTGTCACCTAATCAAGGTGTCTAACGACATTTTTTTATTTAATTTTTTCTAATGCAAATTAATCATGTGAAAATCGAATCAAATTTATTAACTTATTATGATATTTGTTCCTAATAGTTAATAATTTTGTGAAAGAAGAGATAAACCTGAAGGCTAAATGAGACATAGTGGCCTCTAGAATCATAAATATTTTTTTATCAAAATATTTAACAAAATCTCCAAAACCTTTAGGTTGTTTTCAGACTGTTATTATCCAAACTTAATTTTAACAAAAAAAAATCTAATTATAAATATAAGGAGCGAGCTAATGTCAAATCTAATTAAAAACACGTGTTCGAATTTACATTACTGGGTTGGGTTAACATCTCTAATATAAACCAATTGACATCTCTGACCAAACGGGAGAGATCTCAAGCACGTGATTTCCTGAACGATGCTGAATAAGTGGTATCTTATGTCAGATGGTGTTTGCTCATTATTATTCGTCGGTCCAAAGTAAATCTTATATATTATATAACACAAAATAAGATGTTTCATTTGTTTATATATATATATATATACACACATACAAGATATAAAAAAAAAAACAGAATTTAAATTGGCTGAGAAACTCTTAAAACTTGGGCATTTTCCAAAACGTTGAAACGTTCCAATTGTGTTTGCCTAATCCAACAATAAAGAAAAGAGGTAACGCAGAAATATAAAGATCACAACCAAGAAAACCCTAATCACAGCAGAGAGAGAGAGAGAGAGAGAGAGAGAGAGAGAAGAAAGGAATGTTACAGAAAAAGGAGGGGCCATGGAAGTGTTTGAAATCAGGCTTCGGTTGGCAGGACGGAGATGGCCTCTGTTTCGGTGCGGCCGTGGACTCTGAAACGGTAGATGCAAGTGTGGTAACCGTTGCCGTGGTTGGAAGTGAAGTCCAGCCTGACAGTGTCAACGAGTCCCGAGCCACGAGCCGAGTCCGCAACCTCAAACGTCTGTGCGTTCGACTTGTCTAGGTCATAAGTGAACTCTGTCAGAAGCAACATCTTCTCGGTCTCAACCCCAGAATCCATGTCCTGCCCATGGAACCATCCCGATACTCGACAATCTTTTGGAGCGCTCGACCTGTCGTATGCCACACTCTGCATTTTCCATGGGAAAACGAGTAAGAGTCGAGAATATGTCGAGTTCCTCAAGCAATGGGACTGAATCCCCCATCTTTAAAGAAAGAAATCTCAAAACTATCAACATCATGGTTCTGCTCATTGCCAACAGAAAGAAACAGAAGGGGAACCATAACTAGTCTTACTAGAAACTGCTAAAAGATCCTAGTTTGATGATCAAAAACCTACAGGATGACTGAAGTAACGAGTTCTGGATAGAATAATCCAAGCTCAGAACAAAAGTAAGAACAATAGATCGGGTAATCAGTAATCTCTGAAACCAAAACCACAGCTTAATCACCAACACTCAAACTCATGCAGTAATCATCATTTCAATAGATACAGCCTCGTAGTAGAATCCTATCTAGCAAGGATATTGGTTTTTCATCCAAGGCAAGGATATTTCAGATAATGATGTGCACTCAACGCCAGAAAGTAAAAGGGGAAGTTGCATAGATCCTCTTCAATGCCATTGGAATTAGAAGCACATCATCATCATCTCGATAGCACATAGGGAAAGCTGCAATTATGGTATAAATCATTTGCAGGGCAGGCATGGACAATCAGATGTAAACATTACCTTAGCAACATGTTCCAAAGTTACAGCCTCTGGTATGATTGGTGCCCTTAGCCTGATCTGAACATACCCATTGCTTCCTTTCAGAGGAAAACACTGGCCCGGCTCCCCGAAACTGGGAGACAACATCTTATTGGCAATGGTATGGACCCGATTTGTCCCGAACCAGTTACTCCCTTTAGGGTTCCGAATGTTTGGTCACGAAAGCACCACCCGAGGCCAATGCATAGTCTACACGACCAAGGCCGTCTGCAGCATGCTTCTCTATCTCTTTCTCCACTATATCCCGAGCATATGCCCTCACTTCATCGAGGTTTATGTCATCAACTGCAGACTCGTCATCCTTATCCTTCTTCAATTCCTCGTAAATCCGCTCCAATTCATCCTTGGACACCCAAGTTTGAGCATTCAGATCATCAACTGACTTCTCTAACCTGTCGAAACTAGACTCTATCTTATTCAGCTCGGTCTTCAATGCTGAAGTTGACTCATCGATCGTCTGCCTCAGTGCTTTTGCTTCTTTATCCAGTTTCTTATCGAGAACTTCTACCTGGACCTGAATCATCTTCGTTGCAGTCTTCACAAAACCATCCACTTCCGCGATTCGGCCCTCCAATTCCGAGAATGCGATCTCCGACCCAAAAGAAGACGGCGGAGAAGTATTCGCATCCCTCAGAATCACCTTCCTGGCCACCTGAATCAACCCAGCGAGTAACAAAAGAACCGAAAGCTGCTTCGCGAAGACCCTCAACACCCTCTTCCACCGCGGCTTCTCCGGCGGCTTCGGCGTCGCGACCTTGCGCGTCCGCCGCTGCGTGGTGGTGGCAGCGTTGGTCCCCGTGGCGGCGGAGGCCGTCTTCCTGATAACCGGAACCGAATTGCTGGGAGATCTCTCCACGACCGCCTCAGCTCGGATCAGATCCCTGCTCGTACCGGCGGTTTCCCGGACACCTCCATTCGCCAGAGACTCGCTCGCCAGAAAATCGAGGTTGGATTTCTTCTCTCCGGAGATAACTGGAGTCCGGCGAGCGGCCGCCGCCGTGTTAGCGGTGATCGACACCGTTGATGCGGACATCGATCCGGTTGACCCAGAGGAACTCGTGCGAAATGATCTCCCCTTCCAGAATCAAAACCCTAAATGTCGAGAGAAATTGGGAATGAGGAACAGTGGCGACGATGTCAATCGAAAGTGGTAAAATCTGTCTCTGTGCAAATTTCAAAAGGAGAAACTGGAAACCGCTTGATTCCTATTTCCGTGGGACGTGTTGGTTCCTTTGGCTCTTCCTCCTTTTTACCCTTTCTCCTTTTACCAAAATTACCAGAATGACACTCTCCTGTCATGCAAATATTCTAAACTTGTAAACTTTTAATATAAGGTAAATTAGAATAATAATAATGTCATATTTCCCATGAAAAAAGTATAGACTATTTTATTTATCAAATAAACTGAAAACTCTAATATTACCTCATAGATAAATCTGAATTTATAAAACCATTAACATGTTTTCTTTTTGTTTTTAAAACCATTAACATGTTAATTCTAAACCATTAACGTATTAATTCTAACTTTGACCAAAATATCACTTGCCAAGTAAAAAGAAATACACATCATATTTATCATTTTGAGAAAAAAATAAAAATTTCCTAAAAAATAAATAAACTACAAATTCTAATATTATATCATAGACAAATCTGAACTTCTAAAACCATTAACGTATTAATTTCCAACACAAACCAAATATCCAATGTTCAAGTAATAAAAATACATGTCATATTTAAATTTTTTTTTCCAAAAGATCAATAAAAATAAAAAAAATAAAACGATAAATATACACTACACTACACATATACACACATACACATACATATATACATATACACGTTTGTATGTGTACATATGTGTGTGTGTGTGTCAACCAAGAGTATGGAAACGATTTACAAAGTCAATGTTTTGTATGGAAAATAAGGACAAATATACGGATTCTCTATAAATGTCTTTGGAGATATGATCCAAAATACATAAAGCAAGAAACTTTGGACATTTTCCATTCATGACATAAACATTCAGCTTAGATAGCACAAAAGCCTTCATCACACTAACAGATTTTTCTCCATTACATACCGTTTTCGTTAAAGGGTAAAGCCAAAAAAAGAAAGAGAGGAAAGACTCAGATCAAAGCCTGCGACTGCCTAAACCGGAATCTCTGAGTTCCCAGGCCGGTTTACTCTCTCTTGCAACGTCTGTCTTGATTCTTCGCACCATTGGTCTCATGATGAACAAGTACTGCAACCACATCAGCACAATTTTTCATCACTCAGACAATTCAAGGTTTTTGTGTTTTCAGCTTACCAAAAAGCACACATTTATGCCAAGAAAAAAACGCCCTTTTCGAGTAATCTTCCGCGTATAAAAGATCGGTTATCCATCCAGGACGAGGAGCGTGTAAGAAGAGGTTGGGACTGAGAAAGCAAGAGTTTTTCTGCATGGTTTTGATCCTCACCAACCATATAATGGGGGAAGAAGAGAATTATTTCACTGAGCTCAAAAAGCTTACTTGGAATGCGAAAATCAGAGGTATCAAAAACTTCCCCCTCTCATTCGGGTTTGGCCCTTCGATCAATTTCCTGTCAACGAGGATCGACTTGCTTCCATTGAGGGCGATTTCTGTGATAGTCTTGACTAGATTGGGAATCCAAGCAGTCCCATCTGGAAGAATCTGTCACCATAAACTTCCATGGTTCGTTATTCCTCAAACCAGATGTCTTAGTTAGAGCTATGAGAAATAGAGCAATAACTGACCTTTTCATCGTCTTCATTCTTATTACATCTTCCGCTGTTCTCAGCCAGAATGACGGGTATCGGAGAAGTCTAAAATAAAAGATACATACAGAAAAAAAATGCGGTAAAAGGATGCATAACAGAACATGTGAGGCGTTAAAGAGATGACTGAAAAGCTAAGAGTTCTGTGTTTACAGTTTTCATTCTCTTCTATGGTTCTGAGTCCACATGGTAATCATATTCCCACTATATGCGAGTATGATAAAATCCCTCATAACCCAATTACCGCTTTTGATAAGAGGCATTGATAAGATTTAACAACTGAACCAAGTAAAACAAAGAGTGCTGTTCTCGTCTTGCATCAGACATAAGTTTTATTCTCTTGTTCCACATGTGTACCCACATCAGAAGATAAAAAGCATGCCCAGCCCTCAAGTTTTCATGCCCGAATGATTAGTTCCACCCCATTAAACCAACTACAACCATGGCATCAAAGAAAACGATGGACGTGAAAAAAGGCAAAGCATATACCTGCATGTCTTGTTTCTTCAATCGGGCACCTGACCGAACAACCTTTAGAAGAGCATCGGATCTTCTGGAGAGAAAGACATCGTAACTCAACACATCGGGTGGAGAGAACTGAGCATGTGTGAGTACAACAGCAGCCTTCTTCCATATTTCTTTACCGAATGCATCTGTTATAGCCCTCACCACCTGCCTATCCAAGTCATCTACCCGATATACATCCAAACGGTCTACATACAATAGTACATCTATAGTCTTGTTGAGAAGAAAGCTGTTCTATCCAATGCCCACCATTCCAGATCCAAGAATACATCAGCCCATAACAAATGAGAGGACAAAGCTTGTTAGAAATGGAAACCACTGATACAAGATAAAAGCAATATACTGAGAGAAAAAAGTGAGCTATAAAAATAAACAGAACATCTCACCGTTTTATAAGCTCGAGAGCTTGATCATTTACATATCCTCCCTCGATAAGACCAGGAGTGTCGATGATGTTTAATGTAAATCCTGACCTTGAGCGAGAGACTAAGGTCGGCCTCAGTCCTTCAGACTGTTAGAAGAAACCATATAACTAACATCACAAGATCTACATGAAATTTAGACATCGCCATTAAAAAAACCATGAAGATAACAAACAAATCAGTACCTGGAAAGTACTAACTGCAACAGCTTTTTCTCCTATAACTGAATTTACAGTTGACGATTTTCCAACACCACCTTTCCCCATTACAAGTACTGTCAATGTGCTCATATCCTACACAAAATTTGTTTTAGCCGTAAGACACTAAAACTAGACTGACATAACCAAGAAACAAGCATAATGGTAAACCGATAAGAAAAAAGAAAACAGAACCTTTTCTTTGAAACTCCCCAAGACCTCGAGCAATTTAGATTGAGTAGCAGACGGAAACTGCTGGAGACCCGTCCACTCACGGGACATTTGCAATGCCGCCATGGACATGAAAAGCTTATCCTATACCTTCGGAAAGAAAAGAAGTTAGATCAGTGACGATAAGAAATACACAAAGTGTTCAATACGAGTAACAAGAGACCATATAAAGTGTAAAATGGCGTAAATGCGATTTAACATCGAATCCTGATCTTAGATCTCAATAAACATCATCTGAATCTTCTACACAAACCCTTCCCTCAATCATCTAGTAAACAAAGTTCTGGAATTTCTTATCAGTACAAATCTTCCAATATCCCTTCGTTCGTGAACTATATATAGGCCTTGAATGGTAGGAGTTTTTGGAGTTTTTAGAATCCAAAAACAAAAAAAAAACAACATTCAAGTTTTTACAAAATTACTTTTCCTAAAAACTTGGAAAGCCATTTTAATGAAAAAATCAATGAAAAACCAAAAGCTACTTTTTTTTGAGTTTTCAAATATTATAAAATGCAAAAGTCAAAAACCAAAAACTAAAAACCAAAATCCAAAAACTAAAACCAAAAACCCAAAATAAAAGCCATCTTCGTTCAAAGCCATAGTGTTAGGTTACCTGATTGTCTAAAACCCTAAAACTCTCATAAAACAGTATAAATGACATCAGTTCAGATTCACCGTCGGATGATATATGGAGCCTAAACAAAGTTCAGCCCAGCAAAAAAAAACGCAATCGTACATGATCTCTTATCAGCGAGCGCTGAAAAGGCACTGAACAATACCCAGAACACATAACCTAGAGTTTAGATCTAGACGAGAAGCATGGACCAAAAGCAACTCGAAGAGGGGAAAAAAACCCTAGCTTTCACCGTAATTTCAACCTCCATATGAACACACCTCAAAGCAAACGCAAGACCAATTGAAGGGAAGTCAAAATCGCAGAAAGACACGAACCGTGAGCTTTGCTTGAGCTATCAATGGCAGTGGCAGATATTCCGCACCCGATTCGTTGTCCTTGGAATTGAAAATGGCCCGTAGACAAAGAGAAACCCTAGAAATTGAATTGACTTTTGAAGATGATTGATAGCTACTGTACGAATGTCGCTATTACTATGACCCAGCCATTCTTTTATTCACTTAACCTTAAGCCTGCAAAAACCGGTTTAGTTCTATTATTGAGATTTGATTTTTTTATAAAAAAATTATATCTCTTTTGATTTTATATCTAGTTTTTTCTACAGATGTTTTTAACCAAAAAATTTAATTTTTTTTAATAGAGATATTATCAAAAATAATCTATCATTTTTCATCCAATGACTAAAAATATAGTTTGATCACGTATTAGTTCTATTAGTTATAACGTATAATTTAGAATGTTTTTATTAAATGATGAATGAGATATGTAAGAGACGAACCTAAAGAATTAGTTTGATCACTATAAATTTAATGTTATGATCAATAAGATCAACATATGATCCGATTATATTTTTGGTCATATGGATCACATGGTCACATGTGTAGAAAGTTATATGTTAAAATTAAAATAGCAAATGATGATATTTTTTATATAATACCTTTTTAATATAACTTTTCAATTATTTATAAATTATTATGTATTGTAGAATTCGATCAATTCAATTTTAAAAAATTATATCAAGAAATTCAATTCAAATATTTTTTTATAACTAGAAAGTTTATTGAGTTTTCGAGCTACTTAATCTCTTAGTCATGCAATTAATTACGATCTCTCCTCTCCGGTAAATGAAATCGAACGCATAACTTTGAAATGAATTTTGTTATTTTTTAACCACTGTTGGGTTAGTTCAAATACATTAGCCACATTGACTACCAATACTAACTATATACATTTATAACAAAAATTCTAATGGTGTTTTCCAGGTTTCTATATACATGTGAAGTAATAATATATGACTTGAACTTCAAATGATCATATAACTAATTTTTTACTTTATAATTTGCAGCCGACACTATCAGAACTCGAGATCAAGATCAAGAACATGTTTTTTTTTATTCATGAATTTTGAAAAGAGCGTAGTAATTATTTATACAAGTGTGTAAATGCTGTATTACGGATTCAAGTGGCATCTTCCCAAGGTTAGATTCCAATGTCACTTCCCCTGTTTTTACATAGCAGAAGTTGTCTTGCTCGAATCCGAAATCGCCATTCTTATCTCTGCAGATTCCTTCAACAGATCGAACGACGAGAAAGAATGCGGCGGAAGAACGATGCTCGTATCCTCCTCCGCTATTTCCAGCAAGCTTTCGCTCGGGACAACCTGCGGATTTTTTTCGTTCAGACAAACAAGCTTAGCGCCTTCGAGATTTCAGCCGAGAAATTCGTCGGCTTTTAGACGAGATTCGACTTCTTTACCCTTACCTTATTTGGCTGCGAGAACGAGTTCTCATCCATCACATTGTTCGAAGTAATTACAGTCTTCTTCAATCCCGAAAGTCTCGCGATTTCCGGGCTCAATCCCGTCACAGAAACTCTCAGATTCACTGCACTACTTCCGAAGTTCACGACCTGCAACCATACATCGATCAAACACCATTCGTATCGGCTCAAAATCCCGATCTCATAGGTTAGTTTTCTGGCAATGTTCTATGTCTGGTCAGAACAGATTGTCGTATGCACAAAATCCCAAACCTTTATCCTGATGTAATCTTTGCCATCACTGTCTTGCCAGGAAACGGCGGAAGCAACGAGAGAAGAAGAAGAGTTTCCATCGAGCTTTGAACCGAGAAGTGTTGCCCCGCTCGACTCAGTGAAGAATCGTTGGACCCAGTAGCTCGGAGTTCCATACATACGAGAAGAGTCGAATACTATTGCATCTGGGTTCCACCTGAAATTTACACCCCAAAAAATAGGTTTTTATTGATTGTCCGTGTCGAAAAAACTGTAACGAAGATCAACCCGACTCACCTTCTGTCATTCGTGTTCACAAAGAGAGGCGCATAGCTCGCCATTTCCACGACATCGCTGCAAGGAAAGAACGAACTTACATTTTACATCTCGTCCTATACATACTTCCATACGTACATGGGAAAAGGCGAAATGTATATTTTGCAACGAGGTCCGAGGAGAAGAACCTGTTCTTTTCTAGACCGATGAGAAATGCGGCTTCGGCAAGGGCGGCAAGAAGGCTTCCAGTACCAGCGTCTTTTCCAGTCACGGCATATTCGCTAACGAAAGCCTGTTTAACAACAATTTAACGAAAGATCAAAACTTGGAATCATCGCCCGAGAAGATACGAGCAGCCATACCTTTGGACCTTTCCGTGACGTGTGGTCGAATTTGTTGTACATTGAGAACAGGTTATTGGCAGATGTGTAAACCTGCAACAGAAGGACAAGATTTATCCATCAGAACTCGAGAAAACGAGAACGAGAACGGTTCAAGGATCCGCCAAGATGAATTTACGTGAAAATCGTAGTAATCAGCAGGGTGATCGAGCGGCTGAGACGATCCATCACAGTTGGAAATGATTTTGATGTCTGGATAGGCTTTCTTGATAGCCTCGTAAAACTTAAGGTAGTTTCCTGACAAAACATATCTCGTTCAGTACCCGACATTCTCGACGAGTTTTAAGATTTGTTCTTTCTTACACGACAGGAATCTGATAATAGAGACATTGCCAAACCTCTGTAGTTCTTCTTCCCGCAGTCTTCGTTCCCGACAGCGACATATTTCAGTTCAAACGGTTTCGGGTGTCCCATTGCAGCCCGGACAGATCCCCACGTGGAATTCGGATCGCCACGAGCAAACTCGATACCGTCAAGTGCTTCCTGGAATGAAAGGAGGAGATTTTTTTCGTTTTGTTATGGAGTAAAATCTCATTTTGTTAACCGAAACAGAGGATTTCACCGGCATATACTTGAACAAAGGGCATGACACTGGGAGTTTCGACTTGATCTTGATGACTTATTCCTGCAGAAAAATCCACGAAAGTACGAAAAAATGTGAAGAAACGTATAGCACTTAAAAAGGATTTTGCAAGAAAAAACGAAACAAATACCATTGTTAAACACCCATATCGGGGCTGCACCAATGTCTTCAGCCAGCTGCAAGAACAATCGTTTCGTGATTTGATACCGAGCTCGGGGAAATTTTGAAAGTCTAACTGGAACCCAGAAAAAAGCTCACTTGAAAGAACTCAAAGTTGCCAAGTCCGTCGTCCGTCCAGTACATCCAAACGTCGCCAAAATGGCCGGGCCTCTCTTCCCAAGCTCCGACGGTTTCTTTCCACCGGAATGCATTTCTTAACCATTCACCCTCCACGAAACATCCACCTAGTATACATTATCAACTCCAGAAAGATTCAGGGTCTAGAAATTATCTTCAGTTCATCACATATCAACCATATTTTTTTTATCAGATTCATGTTTTTACCAAGACCTGGTTATCTGAGGCGTGCAGCAAAACCGGAAAAAGCTGGTTCTTACCTGGGAAACGGATGAAACGGGGCTTTAGATCTGCAAGCATTTGAGCAAGATCACTTCTGAATCCATGCCCCTGCAATGAACCGAAAAAAGAGAAAATACAGTTTCCACATAACTTTCTGTAATTGCATTCCATAATCTATTTTATCTGTCGAAACGAACCTTGTAAGTATCCACCGGCATGGCTGAGACTTGATCGAACCATATTAACCCCTTTTTGGTTGTTGTAAGCTGAAGTCTTGCACCATGATCTGTCCCTTTTGCTTCCAAGACAACTTCTTTCTTCGTCCAGTTCGAGACATCAGAGGCCGAAGCTCTGCAATGACATATATATATACACATTTCATATCATCGAACCGTATATGCCGAAACATTGAATCATATGAAAGTGGTTTCTTACATAATCTTTTCAGAGGCAAGAATCAATGACCCATTTGAGCTTGTAAATGATACCGATATATCAATGTCACCCGTTGAACGCACGTAAAGAGCCACTTTGTATTTCTTCCCGTCTTCGATATTCTGATGGGGGAAACGAAATGAAGGAAACCGGTCAAGAATCATCTATACCGACACTGAAAAGATGTATATACATACATCTTTCAATGAGTATCGTTGTCTTTCTCACCATGCCCCAGAAACCCGGGTTATACACTCCGACTCCTCCTGATGGGCAGCCATTGCCACCACCTTCTTTGCTGTCACAGAGAACTTCCATTCTCAGGGCGATTTTATTGCGTTCAAAACACGATGAACGGTCCGTGGCAATATAAATCGATGATTGATCCCCGATGATGGACCATGGCCAAATATTGGACGGTGTGTTTTGGCCACCAGCTTCAAATCCTGCAACAAGAAATTTCGCTAGAATCCAGAAAGGAAACCCACAGCCTTATCTGAGTTGTAACTTTCACCAGAAATAAGATCAGAACAGACCTCTGTTGTTAACAAGTTCAGCCCAGAGTCCACCAGCCCCGGCATGGTTGATCTCCTGTAAAAAGTTACATTAGATGAAAATTCTCTCAAAACTGGCATCCATCAGCTATTTGGAAGAATGCATACCGGGTAATAAGAGAATCTGAAAAAAGGTGTAATCTTTAACGAGTGAATCTCAGGTACATAAAGCCACTTTTAATTTGTTCTCATGAACCAATATACAGCCATAACAGGTATCATCTTTAGCGAATCAAGACATGGATAACATCTAAGCGATCCCGTAAACATAAACAGTGTAAACATATATGGGAAACAACGAATACAGATGGAAGGTTGCCCTGAAGAAGAAACACACCCATTTTCGAAGTTTTGAAATCGACAAACCTCAAAGAAAATTCCGAATAGGGTTTCGGGAATAGACCGGCCCGTGCTGTCAGAAGCATCCACTTGCAGTGTCACAGTAGGGTTTGCATTTACCCGAGAATCAGCATAAAGGCTTTGATACACAAAACAAGAGCCTAAGAGAAAGCAAAGTATGCAAACACTTTGAAGCAGCTTCCGAGAACCCATTATCACCTCATCCGACAAAGGAAGACCCTACGGAGACAACAACAATATAGGAAGTAAAAGCATATTTAGCTACTAAGCCTCTAACAGAACATACTAGGAGGATATTGATGAGCTAAGAAACGCAAAAGAGACAGCCTTTCTTGCTCATACTTATCACTTAACATAAAGAAAAAAGCAAAACAGAACAGATGGGGAGTGTTTGATCATCACTGTTTTGTCCTCATTTGATCCAGTAAGATGAAACTGAAACCTAACCTATTCGTTAAACCAAATTTTGGGTCAACAACAGAATCGATATATCTTAACCGTTGATCATCGAGACAAATCAAATCAAGGGCATGTTAGAAAGCCACATAACAAGAGCTAAGATACAGGAAGATGATCTATTAAGTAATGCTATCTCCTGTTTCCAGATTTTCTCAGAGCTTGTTGTTAATTGGATCGATACAAATCTACGGTTGATTAGATTGCAGACTCAGGACATACAATTCAGATTGCTTGAGAGACTAAAATTACAAACCATGGGCTTCATCGTGTTCTTCGGGTAGATTGTGCAGCCTCAAGGATCATAGTAACTTTTTCTCTAGATTCATCAAATCCAACTCTCTGAGTTTCTGAAACTTAGACAGATAAAACAAGTGAAAACAACGATCTTTAAGCATGTCAAATTGAACATCATCAGAGAAATCAAGAACCTTGGGACAGAAAAGAAGAAGAACACAGTCAAGAACGATGACAAGAGACATAAAAGTCGAAACTCAACACAAGTGATAACGAAATTAGAGATGAAGGACACCAAACAACGACAACAATCGAAGACCCATCACAGCAAAAAGGAGATCAAAGGACCCAAAACCTGGAATCAGCGCAGAGAAGAGTTGATTGAGACGAGACAAGGAAATGGGTGAGGAGCAGAGACAGAGAAGGAGAAGGGTATATATACACAAAAGTAGAAGTGACTATGTTCCTGTTGGCGGTCGCTTTTGCGTTGCGTTTGAGGGAAAATCTGCGAATATTTGCTTCCACGTTTTGATTAAATTCGCTTGTTTCCATGGAAGAAGAGTGGTGGTTGATTAGAAGCGATGACTTCTACTTTCTCATGGTTCTTTTCTATTTTCCGGATAATGTTTTGATTTTCCCCAATTATTTTATTTGAAAATATCGACATCTTAAATAAATAATCATGTTAAGAAATTCTACGAAATAAATTATATTATCCATACGGTTTTTGCCTCTCTTTTTTTTTTAATTTCAGTTATATATATGTATATATAAAACATGGTTTGTAATGATACGATTTTTATAACCTACCCCTTTGAATTCGATTGCATGTGATTTTCAACGGACAACGAATAATGCAACATTCACAACGTGTAATCTTGGGTTGTAAACTATATACAGAAACATAACATTGCGTGAGGACTCATGTAAACATAACCCCCCCCTAAATGTGTTTGGATGCACTCTAAACGTGTTTTGGTGA